ATAAATATTTAATTCTGATACATATTTTTTTACATATTTTATATATCTATTTAAGTATCCGATAAAAAAAATGAAAATGAAAGATTACCTTTATCTACATCTCATCCATCTAAATCATATCTATCTAATGCTAACAAACAATCATCTTTAGTTGGATTCATTTAACGTCTATTGTCAATAAATGATATTCCAAATTTTGAAAATTTGATATTACACATGGTTGTCTCTAATAATTTACCATTTAGTTTTATAGAAAATCCTGAAACACAGGATGTTTTTAAGTTTTAGCACCAACTATTAAGTTACCAGGTTGTCATGTACTTAGTAATCATATTTTAACTAAAGCTAGTCAAGAACTAAATAATACAATACTTGATAAAGTGCAAAAAGATTCTGTTAGAGTTACTGCGATATTTGATAGTTGGACAAATATTAAACGAGAACATCTCTTTGAAGTAGTATTAATTATATCAGATGGTGATACTCTTATTTAGAAAGCATACAATATTAGTTCTAAATGTTTAAAAACTAAAAATGTTATTGTACATATAAAAAAAATTATGAATGATACTGAAGAAAATAATATTAAAATTAATTGTTTTGTCTCAGATTCAGCTAGGAGTATGTTGCAGCAAGATATTCTAATCTTTTATATTTAATTCAATAATTATTTATGCTAATATTTATTTAAATTAATAAAATTAATTTTTAAATAAGACATGAATTACACAAAGAATATACAAATAAATTTTTTTTCCTTGTATAGCCTACCAGATAAATTTAGTTGTAGACAATATTTTTAAAGAATCTGATATATATTTAGAAACCTCCAAAAAATCAATTCATATTGTTAGTTACTTTTATACCTCAGTACTATTTAGTGGATATCTACGTGATGAACAAAAAAATCTTTATGGAAAACCTATAAACTTACTTCATTCTGATAATACTCAGTGAAACAGTTACTATTTCTACTTTTATAGTATTTTGAAAACTGAAGAAGCACTAAAGGTTTATTTTTATATACTTATTTATATAATATATATAGTTAGATCTTGTATAGTTACTATCTTGTTAGTTATACTATTTCTTGCTTTAGCTATTATAAAATGCATAAAATTTAATATTTATATAGTTTTAACTTTTGTAATCAAATTCTTGTTTTCTGACCTAGTGACTATATCAAGATCTAACTGTATTTGGAAAGTTTCAGAAATAAAATAGAGAAATCTAATATTGGTTAAAAATATAGATTGATCTTTATTTTGACTTAAATATAGCAATAATTTATAATATTTTATTTTATTCTGAAACTTTCTATATATATATATATATATAAACATATTACATATATAATAATAACAAAAATCTAAAAACTATTTAGGTTTTTATTTATAGCATATATTTATTTATTAAATATATATTTTAATTTATAATAGGCTTTGGCTGCCAAATTTGACCATCATGTCTTGGAGAAAATCATTGATGTTTACATGAAATTGCTTTGCTAAATGATATACTTGATATTATTAATAACCAAAACTTTTGGACTAGATTATATGAACTTCAAAATTTAATCTTGCTTATTTGTAGCATGTTAAACAAGTTGCAAAAAGATATTGCACATCTTTATGAAGTTGTACATTGTTTGCATATTTGGTTAAAACATTTAATAATCATACTGATTCTAAGTTTGGCTTAGTTATGATAGAATGTTTAGAAGCTCGTTGGCTTAAATAGAAGCAGCCATTACTTCTTCTTTCTTTTGTACTTCATCTGGATTATATGCTATCCAAATTTAACTCATCTGTAGCTTATATTATCTGAACTGATTGGGCTTTGTGGATTAATTATTATTATGAAGCTTGGTTTAAAACATGCCTAACATCTATTGTACCTGAGCTTGCATTATATAAAAAACAAGAATTACTATTTGATTCTTTTTGGCAGCAATTTAAAGGCAACATCATAGATTTTTGGAATTCAATTTCTGGTAAAACACCTAAATTATCATGATTTTTTATTTATTTATTTTCAGTTTGTATCAATTCAGCTTCAGTAGAAAGATTATGATTTGCAATAGGAAATTTACATACGCAAAAGAAAAATAAGTTAAAGGTAAATTTTATTGAATATAAATTAAAATACAGTAAAACTTCTATAAGCGCATACTTTGAAAATCAAATATTCAAGTGCTCTTAAAAAATAATAAATAAGAAATTAATACACATCTCTATAAATATATACCCTTAATATTAGACTATATATGAAAGTCACTTAAAAGAAAATCTGAAAATTTAAATATGACTTATATTTAAATTTTCAGGTTTTTTTTTAGCGACACTTATATATGTACTAGAAAGTATATTACATAATCACAATATACTTTTTGATTAGTTAATATGTGCATATATTTATAGTATTCTGATATATCTAGGATTTAAGATTATTTGCACATATAGAATATAAAAAGTGTGTATTTAGTTCTAATTTCTGGGTATAGAATAGAGGTATACACTTATAGAAAATATATTTTTAAAGGTGTTATTGTAAATATAAATTTAAATTAATAATATATTTAGAACAATACAATATTAACAATGGCTCAATTGTGCAGTGATATTTTAGAAAATGTAAAATTAAGCAAGCAGAATTCCATTAACATGATGCTAAAAGAAGATATATTGCAGGACCTATTATTAATAAAAATTTTCTTTAAGTCAAAATATTGATATAGATAATACCCAAAGTATTGAAAAAAATAGTTCAGAAGAATTAAATTTAGAATTTAATAATTCTGATACTGTAATTAAAAATGAAGCGCAATAGAAAAGCCTTGTAGAATATTAGATTAAGTTAGTTAAGCAAGAAAATAATTTTGATAATATTGATGATATTTATATTAATAATCAATCTTATTCAAATTTTAAATTTGGTGGATGCAATATTCATTCGGCTGATGATGAAGATGCAAAAATAGTCACTTTTAACACTTTTTAATGATTCTTTAGATGCTCCAACATTGTTAAATAAATTAGTTGAATTGTTCTTTACTTTTTTTATATAAATATATATATATTTTTTATTATAAATATATATCTATTGGTTAGCCATTTAACTAAGAATAAAATATTTGAATTAGATTTGAATAAGTATAAAAAATTTGAATTTAAATTACATCATTTTGTGTACTAAATTTTAAAATTGATATGTGTTTCGTACTAAATTTTAAACTGATATATATATAAATATTATAAATATTGTTATTTTCAACTATATACCTGGTATATCAAATACAATACGCATCATCTGATATATCTTTGCTAGTTTAAATCAAGTTTTAAAAACAATACTAGCAGCTATCATCTTTTTGATTAAAATAACTAATTTGTATTAAAGAGACGATTAAACCAAATATGCTTTATAGACAAAATCACAATTACAATTACTTACAAAAGATATCAAAAAGCATAAGTACTACTAGTTATATTATTGGATAAATGCCGGCTTGCCAAAGATACTAAAAATAATTTTAATTAAAGAACTTAAAGTTTGCAGAATAAATTGTAAGTAATTTAAACTGTAATAATAATCTACTTCTAGAATTAGCAAGTGAAATTGTGCTAGTTATTATTGTAATAGTAGAATAAGCAAGAGTAGCATCAGCCAGTAGTTTTTTGCTTGCTTGAAGCAGACCAGTCATTAAATGTGGCAGATTAAAATGAAATCAGATTAAAATGAAATAAGTGATAGTATAAAATAGACAAGCTACTAAAAAATACAAATTTTTGGAAAGCATTTTTTTAGCATTTTTTTAGAGTTAAAATTAGAGTATAGAAGCAAGTTTTATAATAAACAAGTATAAATGGGTTTTAGAAGGTCAAATAAAAACTCTTCATTTCATTTTAATCTAATTTCATTATGATCTTAATTAAAAATTATTGTATAAAAAATGCACATATTACAATACTATAAATTAATTTTAAAGCATTTTTGATATATGCTATATATATTAATATATATTCTTTATATATTAATTAAGTATTTTAATTAGTATATTATAGTATAATGTCATTTGTCATTTGTCTTTAAATGACTAAATAATAAATGATATATGTTACAAGATTTTTTATGTCATTTAAAATTTATTTGACAACACTGTAATATAATGCTTTCTATTTATCATTACAAGCATTTAGCCAGTTTGTAAGAAGAATATATTTACTAGATATGTGTAGAATATTTAGTTAGTGAGTACTATTAATTTAGTTAATAGTAGAATTATATTAAATAGATATAGATTGTTTGTTTTTGAGTGATGTTTTAACTTGATAGATAATATTCCTAAGCTTTTTAAGATATTAGTGTAATAGTGATACTTTGGGTAAGTATATATGTTGAAAGTTTCATACTGCAAATTTTTTATTAAGAATATGTTGTAGGGTAGCATTAATAATACTAGTTTCTATTTTATACCAAGAGTATTCAAAGGTCTCCAAAGTATCTATAGATAGTAAAGTCTTGTTAGCTCTAAGATTGAAAGAAATTTGGTCTGAGTATATTTGCTATTATTTATTGTTCATATTTTTGTAAAGAAATATTCTTCTTTAAGTTTTTGTTATCATCTTATATTTGCCTATATAGACATAAGAAAATATTTATGAAGAAATTAAAATTTTGTAATCACTTCTAGTACTAGT